TGGATGCTCCAGTGGTAGCTTAAGAACAGTCTTCTGTATTTATAAGGCAGAATATTGAAAACACACACAAAATATGGGCAGGCAGAAAAAGAAAGATAAGAAAAAAGAGTACGAGTCTTTTCTGTGTCTTAAACTACAATGAATCAAATGCTAAAAAGTTCACTGGTAGAAAAAAAGGATAAGGTGAGGAAGTCACCCTCTGACCTGTGGACTTACTAATTTATCAAAGGTTAAGTAACACATTAAAGGGAGCCACTATGAAGGACAATAATTTTGGAGGCTTAAATAAGAACTTATGCTTTGTTTATAAATAATAGCATCTAAAATTATGAACAATTAAATGTACAAATTTTAAAAACATTATCACTTTCCTAGAAGACACTAATGAAGGCAGAAAAATGGAAAGCCAATGGAGTTAACAAGAGAATGTGTTAGCAGAATCCCACTTAAAGGCATCTGCTTTCTGATCTTCAGGGATAGAGAAGGAGCAGCCCCTGCTCCCAAACAGGACTATGCAAGAGTTCTTATGTAATAGTTCAATAAACATGGTAAAATTATTTGAGCCACCACCTTTGAAACTTTGAGTAAACGTTTTTAAAAAACTAAATTGACAGACTCAGCAACAACAAAATCTGAAAACAATGCTTTGGTAAAGTTTTTTTTTATAAAAGTAAATTACTCAAACATCAAAATAAAGCCAGCTGCCTTACTGAGACCTTAGCTAAAATGTATTTTTAAATGTTGGATTTTATTTTCAAATATAGTTTTACATTTGGGAGAAATATGTAATTACAGTAATACAGGCTCATTTAAAACATGTAGAGCTTATGTAGACCACACAATCACAGATAACAATTTGAAATGACTATAAAGTTGTAATTTGTAATTTTTTTAGCAACTTTTCTCCTCAATCAAAATAATCTACATTTTACAAGATTAATATTGTAGATATCTGTATTGGCATGTCTAAATTTTTCTGCCAATCATGAAAACAACTTTCCAGTTAATGTGATATATAATCAACTTGAAACCATTTCTGTATTCAAAGTGAGTGGAAAAACCACTTTTACAAGATATTTACTCCATCTATAACTCCCATTGCTGGACTCAGAATGCCCCTCTGCCTGTTTAGAAAGGCCCCCAAGATCACTTCTCTACAAATAGGAAACCTGAAAGTCATTAGGATTATGTGTCTTTTGAAACAGTGAGCAATTGTAATTTGAAAAAAAACAAGATTTCAGAATTTTCAAAGATTCTCTTTCCAAGAACCTAAGAACTCTGTAAATCTGTTCAATTATATCTAAAGAACTTCTCTATTCTGCCTAAATCATAGCTTCCTAAAATTTCTAAATTCACTTCTCGAAACCTTATGTCAAAGTGGGTTAATTTAGAAGAGTAACTCCAATAGACAAAATGATCTGGACAAAAAAATAATTCTCTGATGATTAATTTAGCAAATTAACCTGTTGAAATTTGTGGCTCTTAGTCATTAGAAGAGAAGGAATAATAGTCATCACTTTACATAGGCCAGAGCTGCTTATCAAGTACCCTCCTATATAAGCATAGGAATGGTGGAAGGCAGTTTTATATGTGAAATTAAAACCATTTTTCCCCCCAGAGAGAACAGGTTTGACCACCAGAAAGTTCTTCCAAATTAGCCAATCCATGTGAACACATTCCCAAAAGGCAGCTTCAATTTAAAGCCATGAGCCCTGTTTCTAATAATGATGGAAAAGATTTCTAATAATGGTGAAAAAGACCAAGTTAATATCCTTCCACTGAAGGATAAAAGCTCAGCCAGGATAAAAGCTAGCAACTGTTACTGTGCCCACAGGGGTGCACTGGTCCGGCTGAGCCAGGAGGAGGGGCACTGAGGACACTTATGTGGGTGGAGCCTACATTAAGTACCACTGATACAATCAGTCACCAGAAAGATATGTATCTCATTTTTTTGGTGTCTTCCCAGTTTTCATCCAACTGAGGTTGACAGTTTCACTCCAATTCCTGCTTGTTTTTCCACACCCCTTAAAAAGTGTTTCCATGGCTGAGCTGACAGTGAGGCCTGAGGACAGAAGCTGGTTAAGGATGGTCAGTTTATGTACCATCCCTCCCATGCCACTGCTTCTACCACCAGTTTAAAAGGTGGCAGGAGAAAAGGAATCCTAGGACTACTAACAATCTACCTGGCTCCATACTTTAAGGTAGAGAGAGCTGAAACAAGTCTTCCCCCTTTCCCTTTACTGCCCCTGTAGGGAACACTCAGACCCATAAATGTGCAAACACAGAAATGGAAAAAGACAGTACTAGAAGCAGTCAGAGCAAGCAAAGCCATTGACGACTTCGGTACCTCTTAAGTAATATTTTTTTTTTAAATAAGAACTAAGTTAAAGGTAGGTTGGGAGAGAAAGAATTTTTAATCTTCTGTCCCCTGGAAGCTATTGGCATATAAATGCAGGGGTTTTTAGAGCACTGTAAACTTAATCCCAAATATAAAAACACTAGCATATAGGAAGCAGAAAAGGTCTTACAGCAGCAGGAAAACAAAGCACTCCCTTCTGGGGCCCCCAGTGGTCATGCAGATAAGTGGGCACTGGGGGCATCTTTGTCACTTAACTTTCCCTTCCCCAAGTGGACCTCCTCATCTGAAACCTTTCCCCACAAGTGTACACTGTCAATCTTGCTGTAATCAACTGTACAGTTTGCCTGTTGTTTTCCCAAGGTAGCTGGCTGACCTACTGCCCCCAGAGATGCCTCTTCCCACCTACTGTGTGTCAGTCTTTCTCTGCTCCTCAGGTCTGCTCCTGAATAGGGGTTGGCCGCCTCCTGCTGACTTCTTTCTGAGCCTCTGGGTTCTCTTTACATCCCCTTACCTACCTTCTTCCCACTGCCATTCCTTCCCACGCCCTTCCCTTGGAGCAGGCAAGCTTATCTTTCCATCTTGCAAGGGTGAGTTTCTCTCCACTGTCTGCCTGTGTATCTGGCTTCCACCATACGGGCCTCCCATTCCGTGCTGATGCTAGTCTCTTTGCTGCAGGTGCACCTATCTGGGAGTAGCTATTGGCACATGCAGTTTTGTATTTCTCTTACCTCTCCCAGCCATTCTTGACGTTTCCTCCCCAGATTTCACTGCATGTAGGAAGGCATCTTTCTCCCTGTGCCTGCACTCCTCCCTGACACCCCCTCACCCCACCACACAGTCTGTGAGTGCTTTTCACCATATGCTTCTCTGGTTAGTAACACAAGTGTCCACCTATTTCTTTAAGTGCCTTCCTAACAATATTCTCACCTCTGAGTTTCTACTGCTGTTTACAAATACCCTATCATGTGAGTTCATTTTCTATCCAAAGCGTGCAAAACTAATGCCTGTGTGTGCACACTTATCTAGAAGGGGGCCTCTCTGAACACACTCTCAGTGAACCCGGGTTCACACCTCTCCTGCAGCTCTGCCTCAGACTCTGCCTTCGCTCTATGTATTTAAAGTGCCTGGCACTAGTAGGAGCTCAACAGATGTCAGTTCTTTCCCCCACTTTTAGCTGAATAACTATGTGAGTCTGTGTCTCAGTGTCCTTCTGCCCCTCTGTGCCTGTTTTGAGACCAGTTGGAGTGTGTTCCTCAGTATAGAAAAGGCTATTTATCAGATGCCCTGTGGGTTCTATCTCCCTTCCGACTCTATCCTCTCCTGTAAAACGTTACAGGTTCTCCCATATGGCATATCCCTCCCTCACGCAATGTATCCATTCGGTCTCCCTCAAAGCCATACAGTACTGCAAAACCATAAACAGTTTCCTCATACACCCTGGTTACCGCGTCCCTTCTTGGTGCCCCCTCTCTCTCCTACTTTTTTCCAACATGAAAGCGTTCTGGATTTGTAGTCCAATTGCAGTGTACGTGCACCTATCTGAGTGAGCCTCTCTCTGTACTGTAGGGGTGTGCGTGTGTGTGTGTGTGTCAATGGGCTTCTCTCGGGAACGCGGGGTGAGAGGCCCGAGTCTCTGTCCGCGATGCATTATATCCTCCCCCCATCTACTGGCTCGTTCCCAGTCTACATGTCCCAGAGTCAGCCCGAGCCCCCGGGAGCTCTTTCGGGTACGTTGAGCGTCCGTGAACCTCTTTTCCCCAGAACCCTATGTCTTGCTCCCAGGGAGCAATAAGTGTTTATGGGTCCTGAGGTCTCTCCCCGGGGCGATTTGTTGTTTTGTGTCCGTCCAGGACGCAGGGCGTCTCCAGGAACGCGATACGCCTGTGTCCCGGAGTCCCTGAGAATGCAGGTGTGTCCCCTTCACCCCGTACGCGAAGCGCCAGTGTCCTCGCCGTTCCGGTGTGCGCCTCCCCCTTACACGTAATGCCTAAGTCCCCATCTCTACTAGCACACCGTGTGCCCCTCCCAATGCGCCAAGCGCCCAAGTCCCCATCCCTTCGAGCACCTGGGGACACGCGGAGTGCCTGTGTCCCCAAGTCCCTGGGAATACATGGGGTGTCCCACCCCCACACGCGGAGCGCCTGGGTCCTGTCTCTGCGGATCCATCGTGCCGCCGTTACTGGAAATCGCGGACAGCTGGTGCCGGCAAGTCCTCCCTAGTTCTTTGCACGTACGCTGCTCGCTGCCCCGCTTCCCCGCCGAGGGCAGCGTGGTCATCTCACTTCTCTTACCCGGGCCTCTCTCCCTCTTTGCGACCCAACAAGCCAGGAAATCCGCGGGCGCCGTCGGAAAGTCCCGCAGCGGCTGAGCAGCCGACCAAGGGCTGCGGCTGCCTCGGCCCCACCACCAGGGGCCGCCCGCCTGCCCGCTTCCCAACGTCCCGGCCGGCCCGGGACCGCGGCGTCAGCCACCCTGCCCGGCCCGACCCTGCCCGGTCGCGGTGGGCGCTGACGGCTGCATCTGCCAGCCACTGCCCCGCCGGCTCCGCACCAGGCTCACTAGCAGAGGGAGGCGCGGCTGGTCAGTGAGCGGTGCGCTCTCCCTCCCTGAGCCCAGCCAGTCGGCCGGCCGGCCCGCTCACCTTGTGGGTCTGGTAAGTCTCAAGCGCCCGGATCGCCGTCTCGGTGAGCTTCACATGCAGTACGGTGATGTTGTCCTGCCCCAGCCGTCCGCACGACAACCCATAGCGCTGCTCCTCCCGCAGGCCCGCTGCCCCCCCCGCCGCCATCTTAAACTCCCTGGGGTGCTGCCGCCGCCACCGCACCGGCTTTAGCCTCCACTGCGGCCGCGGCTGCTTGGGCTTCTGCAGCCGCCGCCACAGCTAGGGCCATCCCGCTGCTGACGTACTGTCATATACTGCGCGCAGCCAGACCTCGGACTGCCACCGCCACCACCCGCTCCACCCTCCGGCCCCGCGCCACGCCCCGGGCTCCTCTGATTGGCCTTGTTCCCTTCAGAACCGCCCTCATTGGCCGCTCTCCACTCTCACGGGGGCGGGGCCCAAAGTAGCAGGAGTTCTGCTCCTGGGACGGGACGTCCGAGAGGTAAGAGGCTGACGTCTAGGTGACGCGCCAACTTACTCATGTCTGACGTCACGTCTGGTAGTCTTGGCTTTCCGGGCATGATTGGCCAGGCTGGCTAGGATCTCCTCTGCTAATTGGGAGTCCAAGTTGCCTGGTCTGGTTACCTGGAGTTGGAGCCCCGCCCCTGGAGGGGATAGTAGTGGAAAGTCCGAATTGGGGAAACTCACCCTGAGTGGGTGGTCCTTGGAGAGGAGGATCTCCACCTCCAGTGTGTGAAGGGATGGCCGTAACCAAATAAGGACTTCGTTCCCCGACGGCTGCGGAAGCTGTGGAACTTGGTGTGTACACGTTGGGGAGGACGCAATAGGTGGACTCACCAAAGACCTGCTCCTCAAAACTCCGAGTACCGTAGTTGAGCAGATGGGATTGGGAGGAAAGCCTTCTTTGTCATTTTACTGTAAACGAGATTATCTGATGCCACACACACAGTTTATAAAAACAAAAACCCTTGAAATCAGTGAGCTGACTCTTAGCTGTAGGAGTTGTGTTAGATTTTGTGGAGCATCTTAAGGACAAAACCACGCGGGATGTGGTGGGCATGATATAATATGCCTTTTGTATGGTGGGCATAATATAATAGAGAATTGAGTTTCGAAGTCTTTCCGACGCCATGCCCTGTTGTGATTCTCTGGGATCACAACTTGTTAGGATGTTAATCACCTTGCAAAGGACTCTAGAAGAAGAGTAAAACTAGCATTGACCTAAATTAAACTACGACCACTCTCATTCTCTGATTCAGTTTGAGCTCTTCCATTTTCTTTGATAGGGCTGTGTGAAAACCTAGCTAGGGTTTAAAGGTTAAGAGAGATGGGCTGTTGAGGTTAAGCGAAGGGATCGGGGCGTGAAGGGTGTGCACAGGCCTGGCATACTTTCCATTCCTCGGAATGCTTCCTGTGTAGGCGTGGCTAAAAGAGGAAGCCTAATCTGGAGTCCCTTTCAGGCTGTGTGTGGATAGACTGACAGATGGGTTCCTGTCAGAGGATGGATTAATTGGGTGATCAGACACACCAGCTAAAACAAAGTATTGAAATCTTTGAAACTGTTGAAAGGCAGTTTAAAAAATTATTATTTTTTTTAAATTGAGACGCTTGTTTTTACCCTCAGCTTGTAAAATATTGTTCTGTTCTACTGGGATTCCCTGGGAAAATTTAATCAATATTTTTCATTATTTTAAATAGGATTAGGGCTATGATTCTATGTCTTTCCCTCCCAATAAATGCCTTCCTCACTGTATGGGTGCACTCCCTTTTGATTCAGACCCTCAAACATAGTAGGTATATACTGTGAATTACACCTACTATGGATTATCGTTCCATGGATTAAGTGGAAACACCTGTCAAATCACAGGCAAACAGTTTGCAAATTGACTTAATTTCAATCCACTAAGATTGGCTAGCTGTTAAGACATGATTAACGCTTGCTAATTTCATTCACTTTAGTGATGCAGTGTTATCTTAAATTCATTAAGTAGAGAAATTAAGGCAATCATGAAATTGGATTAAAAATTTTACTCTTAGAAGGGAAATAGAGGCTTTATTACCTAGTTTTCTCAGCTTTCTAAAAGTAGAAACCTTATTCAAATAGTTCATTGATCTCTAACTGGACTATAGTCTAAAAAGAAACCTGTACTTGAATTTTTCTTTTCTCTTTCTTTTTTTCTTTTTCTTTTTTCTTTTTTGCTTTGATAGTAAAGGACTGACCACATACCTAAAGCCTTAATTATTTGGGGGTGAGGGAGAAGGGAGGTTTGCCCAGACAAGTAAAACCTGTATCCCACTGCTTTTCTGCTGAATGGGTCAATACCCATTCACATGATTTCCTAACTTGGCCTCTTCTTACTCAGAATTTCTGATGACATCCAAGTGGGTGGGGGAGGAGTAAGTATGACTTTTGCTGTAGTTTTCAAATATCTGACCTATAGCTTCTCACTAGTAATTGATTTTTATTTGAACTGCGGGAGGAAAATTTTTCCCATGCCCTATTTTAGTGGGTAACAAATTTTTCAGGGATTCATATATTATTGTAGTGAGTTAATGTTTGTTCATATTTTTCCCCTTTCGAGCTTTTCAACTGTGGAAGGAAATGAACAAGTACAAAGTAATATGGTAATCTAGTAGTGTCTTTTCATTGATGTCTCACAGGCATAGTATACATTATACCTGCCTGAATCAGATGGTCAAGTTATAATGCTGGTAAGGATAATTTATTTAGAGGAGGCTGATGAAAGGTGCTTTTTGGAAAGTTTGCCAGTTATACATATTTTCTGTATCTTTATCTGGTTTAAATAATTAACAAATAATCATTGAATACCAGTTAAGTATGACTTGCTGTAGAGGATTTAAAAATTAAACAATAAAGTCTCTAAAGGAATTTTTCTGTTTAAATGTGCCAAGTAAACCAGTATACTCAAAGCAAAGCAATTAGAGAATTAGTAAATGCTAATTTGGATGGTGTTGGTGATAAATTCAAAAATTCAAAGAAAGGAGAAGTCTGAAGAGGTTTAATGGAGGCAGTAGAACTTGAATAGCTCTTGAGGGTGGAGTAGATTCTATATAAGTGGAGGTGGTATAGATGCAGACAGGCCAATAAAAATGATCTTATGCTGATTCTAGGTTAATCCATTAGTTTTGTGAAGGAGGAACTGAGACCCCATTAATTTAAAAGCAAACTGCCTAGCATTACCAGGAGAGGCAGGGTTGGAATCAGCTCTTTGTGTGTCCTTCTGGTCCCTATATAACCTGAATAGCTACGGATTAGTTTTAATAACTGAGAAGAAATCTGTTTTATAAGACAGTTCAGTGCAGGAAGAAGGCAAAAAGGAATCTGTTGCAGGGCCTGCTCCATCTCTCATGTCTAGTCTAGAATATAGTGCTGGCAAAGCATATGTGAACATCAAGGCCTTCAAATGCTGGGCCACCCCTCATTCCAGGTTGCTGCATATTTAATGACAGTTTCTCACATCTTTGGTGCTGAGGTCACCAATTCAGATGCCTTCAGGGACCGTTGGATACCCAAATGAGTGAAAAAGGGCGGATACAATGTCATAGGGACTGAAGGTGCTGGACTGTAGTGAGCTGGGAGCGTTTAAAGGGCTCAGTGATTTCTTGGTCTAGCTGATTGTTGCCAGGTGACCATAAGGTGGCCTAGTGTTGCCAGATCTAATTTTTTTAAAAGCTGAGAAATGAAGATATTTTATCTAAATCTCCTAATATTTATTCAGCAACACTTAAGTTAAAAATTATAATAAACATTTTCTGGACACTGAATAAGTTTTAGGCCAAAGTTAGGCCACAGGTTTCCAGTTTTCCACATCTGCTGTAGTGACTTCCAATGCAGAAGGGCATTCTGTCTTATACCTGTGTTAGCAGTTTTGTAAGTTGTTTCTTAAACCCATCTATACAAAAAGTTAATACTTATTAATGTTTTAATATAAGGCAGTGGCTTCTATTACAAAAAGAGAACATAGAACCTTATAGAGTTATAGCACAGAAGCTCTCTCTATTTAGAATTTCCAGGTAGAAAGTCTTTCCCTTTTGAATTCTCTTCCCCAGTGCTGCTTGCTTCCTATTGTGTTTGACCCAACCATTACACTGCTCTCCCTTCAAGACTTTGCCCAGCCATATACTAAAATCTCATTGCCTTGGACACAATTAAAGTAGAAGCTTGATAGTTTTAAAAATGCTTCAGCAGACATGTATAGAGAATAAAATTGAGATACCTATAGTTAGGGCATAGATTTTGTTATGTAAACACAGGTTTTAAGTTGAATAATTTTTATTGTAATGTGAAAATTTAAGTACAAGAAATATTATATTGCATTGTTTATTATTAGCAGTATTATCATTATCATTATTGCTAAGTTTGGCTCTGAGTTCCTCATCTGAGTAGTAGGATAATAAATTCACAAGTCATACAAAGGTCCCGAAATATATGGGGAGGGCTCTCTAGTCTAGGTCTATCACTGCTGGTATAATTCTTTAGAAGTTCAAGAGTTTCTTTTTAGGAAGGATTTGGGATGGAGTGCAACCTAGATAGAAGGAAACAGAGGACCTGAATTGAAGGTGGGTTTGCATAGCAAGCATACCATACTTATGTTGTGTGTGTATATGGGGGCAAGGTTAAGGGTGGCACTGATGGGGATTATGAGAAGGGTGGGTTGAAACTCCCTAGCCATGTAATATGATGATGGACTATGTCCACATGATTTTCTGAATCAGTTATCTGAGAACTTTGCTGAAACTGGCAACCTTGGGGTACCAGCTTCAGTAAAGTCCAGCTTCCCTCTCTAGGAATATATTTCCTGAAGTACTAAAAGGACACTGGACTTGTGCTGTACCTTTCCTGGGGTTGGCATCCTCTGCTTCTTCCCAGGATTAGGAGATGATATCCCATCTCTGGACATCTACCTCTACACTTTTTGTCTTCAAAGTTCCTTTCTCTTTCTAGAACCGTCTGGTTATTTTTTAAAAATTGTGATCTGGAAGTGAGGAAAGTCCCTTCTCTCCATTGCTATCTTCCCCTCCAATTCAAAGCCCTTTTTCACTTAGTGGGGCTTAGTAGAAGGCTAGGTGGTCAGGGCTACTCTCCTTTCACATGCACGTTAGCTTCCTAAGACAGAGATACTCAGTCTTTATTAATACCTTTATAGCTTTTTTCTCTCTCTGTTCCTTGCCTTTCTCTATTAAGAGGAGTCTCTAGGAACTCATATGTCCTTTTGAGGCAAAAAGACTCAGATTTGATTCCCTTACACACCAAGAAAATTCTCCCCTTTTTTCCTTATTGAAGAAAATGTCCAGTCCACAGAACTGAACTATGTCCAGCATAGAGACCAAAGTGACCACTCTCCCACATGATAATTGTTTCATGGCTATTCAGGGTAGTGCAAAGTGTTCTGAAAGATATCATACAGGCTCTGAAAAGGAGACGAGTGGTAAAGAGCAACCTCACAACTCTTACCACTTCCATGCTGTTTTGTACTAAAAAGGGGCACATGTATTTCTGAAAAAACGGAGGAGTTAGGAAGACATGGGGTGGGAAGGGAATGTCTGTTAAGCCTTTTACTTTTAAACAGGTTAATAGTGGACCAAATGCCATCAGCCTCAAGAATGATTTTGGTAATTAATAATAGCTTATTCTTGTTAGGTGCAGGTACGTGATACTTTAGTCCCAGCTACTCAGGAGGCTGAGGCAGAAGGATTCTTTGAGTCC